GGACTTCATTGACAACACTGGCTTGCTGGTTTCTAGGCAGATGGCTTTGATGTCCAGCTGCAGCATCGGGTCTTCTGAGTCTCACAGCCTCCACGGGAGAAGTGAGGCTCATTGGCTATGTAACAAACACAGCATAACAAATGAGCATCATGTAGATTCTGTTTCTCTGAATCACCTTGGTTGTAACATGGAAGAGAACCAAATGGCCTAACATGTGCAGTCAAGGGAGGTGACATGCATGTGACCGGGCTGTCTTTCTAGTTTCCGTCTCTAACAAAACATGTGAGGGATTAACTTGTTGAAAGGTTTATTGTAGTTCACACTTTTGAAGGCTTACGTGACAATCTTCACTATTTTAAATCAGGTCACATTAATAACATACATCAAGTTTATACCATATTTTACTTTTCTCGTCATTATGGAAAAAACAACAAGAAATTAGGATAGCAAACATCTATTCTTCCACGGAATGTATTCTTAAAATTAAATATATGGAACACAAATTTCAAAGTGTGGAACTCACATTTAGAAGTCTTAATTCAACACCATAACTACATTAGTTGTCATGGATGTCACAGTTACAACATTGTGTTAGGCACTACTTTAAATAGGCACAAAAATTCTACCCAGAGAGTTAACAACGTATACTCTTTTGTGATATGTCTTCATAAAACTTTCATTTTATTTTCTAGTGTGATTGTGTGCAGCAAGCGAACTAGAATGAGTGGTGACTGATTCAGGTTGCCACCGCCCATGACTCAGGTCTCCTTGCCCAGTTACTGGTGTAATCAAGGAGTATCAAGTCTCACAGCACATCATTCAGGTTCAAGAGGAGTGTTCTTACTTCACAGGTGAAGACTGGTTGCCCAGGAGAAGATGGGTGGAAACATTTGAGGTTCAGAAAGGCTCTGAAGCATAAATGACTATTCATCAGCTAGGGGATTTTTTTTTTTTGACTTTTCAAAACAGGGTTTCTCTGTGTAGCTTTGGAGCCTGTCCTGTAACTAGCTCTGTGGACCAGACTGGCCTCGAACTCACAGAGATCCGCCTGCCTCTGCCTGCCGAGTGCTGGGATTAAAGGCGGGAGCCACCACTGCACAGTCCAGCTGTGGGATTTCTATTCTACTGTTGATTGACTGATATGCAATTTTGCTCTGTAGTAGTGACCCTGCTGTCTCTGGATTACAGCTGTGTGCCACCACACCTGGCTCTGCTACTCTACTATTTTGATATATAAAGGATCTGGCTCTGAGTGATGTTTCCTTTGCATTTCCAATCGAACTCTTTCCAGTGGGTCTTTAGTCTTTGGCTCATTCTTTCTGCCTGATCAGATCTAAGGAACTATTCAAACACAGGGCACTCTGGGATTGCATAACTTAGGCTCTTCATTGAACCAAAAAGTGTAAAAACAGACAATATCATTCTTAAAATGATTTTAGTAATCTAGATCCAGTTTTTCAATGATGTAAAGCTCAATAAAGATGTGTTAAAAATACATGATTGTAGCTGGGCAGTGCTGGCGCATACCTTTAATCCCAGCACTCAGGGAGGCAGAAGCAGGCGAATCTCTGTGAGTTCCAGGACAGCCAGAGATACACAGAGAAAACTTGTCTCAAAAAAACCCAAAAAATAATACACGATTATTTTTGGTTGCTTGATGCTTTTGGAAGCCTAAATTTTCAGGTTTCCAGGCTCAAAAATTCTCTCTTACTTGCTCCTGTGGTGATGCAAAGAACATAAAGATCACATTGAAAAGCATTCTGATCACTTGGACATTTTGTTTAAGCTTACATACAATGAACCATCATGCCATTACATGTTCTGAAATTATTAGCACTGTGGATGAGCAGTCTCAATCAGGTACAAGTTTATTATACACTGAGTAGATTTTTGTTCATTTAAAAAATTCTAATGGCCTGTGAGTTCGAGACCAGCCTGGTCTACAAGAGCTAGTTCCAGGACAGGCTCCAAAACCACAGAGAAACCCTGTCTCGAAAAACCAAAAAAAAAAAAAAAAAAAAAAAAAAAAAAATTCTAATGGCAATTAGCTATAGCATATAGAGTATTAAATTTTAATAAGAGTAAATAAAGCATAGTAATGACATAAAGTATGTCTTTTTTTTAAAGACAGGATTTCACCACATAACTCTAGCTGTCCTGGAACTTGATCTGTAGACCAGGCTGACCTCAAATTCACAGAGCTCCACTACCACTGCCCCCTGAGTGCTAAGATTAAAGTTGTTTATGTGGTTTCTAAGAAATCTGGGCAGCAGCCAGGTCGTGGTGGTATACACTATTAATTCTAGCACTTGAGAGGCAGAGGCAGGCAGATCTCTGTGAGTTCGAGGCCAGCATGGTCTGTAAAGCGAGCTCCAGGACAGCCAGGACTGTTACATAGAGAAAATCTAAAGAAAAAGAAACCTGGGAAAACTCTTTTTTGCCTAGAGCAAATATTGACTGTTTTGGCATTATCGTTCACATCTTCTATAACAATATATAAGAAACAGGTCAATCATATATACATATACACACATATACATAATACATGTATATATACAATACTATATATATGTATATATGGATGGATAGATTTGAGGTTATGGGTATACACATTTGGCAGTCTTTTTTTTTGTTTGTTTTTGTTTTTGGTTTTTTGAGACAGGGTTTCTCTGTGTAGCTCTGGCTGTCCGTGAACTCGCTCTGTAGACCAAGCTTGGCCTAGAACTCACAGAGATCCATCTGCCTCCGCCTCCTGAGTGGGATTAAAGGTGTATGTCACAATGCCAAGTTTTTCACTCACTGCTGATACCTCCTCTATAAGGGGTGGGGTATGGGGAAATATCTCCTCCATAAAGTCAAAGCAACTGGACCCAGCTTTACTTACCCTTTTACATTTCTCAACCATGGATGTGTGCACACACACACCCATATAAGTGTTTCTGCCCTACAAGTATCAACTTTTTGGGATTCCACCTTCCCATTTCTTCTTCCAGCTTCCCAATTCTATTCTGAGTATAGAACCCATCCTATCCTTAGTCTTTATCCAGCATTGCTATTATTAAAGGTGTCCACAGAGAATGAAATCATACTTTAAGTTTTCGTTGTTTAACTCGACAAGTAGAGTACAGGTACAGAAGGTACTTTCAATGGTCAGCCCTCAGCATTTTAGATCATGCCATTTTGGATGTGATGGCAAACTGTAATGTAAGACTTAGAATTGTAACAGTAAAATAGACTGCTTCATGTGGGCAATTTGAATTCATTCCCACAAAACAGCCTGGGGATATAAAAGTGTTGACAATATAAATATTCAAAACGTTCATAGTGACATAACATATTCTCTTCACTAGCACTATTAAAAATACCCAAACCTAGAAAATGTTCAAGTGCTAATGTTTTAAAATACAATTAAATGCCCACTTCAAAGATTCACTAAAACATTTTCAGATGTGACTTTCTGAGTGGATTAGTTTTCCAAGGGCTTTCATCTCTACTGTTTATGCTTTAGAGAAACATTGATTCATCAGAGGTTCAAAGTAGGAGAGAGGACCGTGCCAGCCAAGGACTCCCCTGGGTCCATGAAAACACACACCATCTTCTGGTACCTCCACACAGAAATAAAAGGAAAGAACACAAGAACATATTCTCATCAGCTGTAAATATAATGTGTCCAGAAGCAGCTGCATCAGCAACACACATGTAAAATACCTTCTTCATTCAAAACTTTTTAACACCATCTGCTTGATTTTCAGAATAATTCCATAAAATTCAAAAAATTAGTAGGCTCATTTTATAAGCCAGAAGAGTGATGGTCAAGAGATCGTAGAACATTCTTATGGTCTAATACTAACTAGGAGAGTAAAGGCAAGCTTAGGGCTTTGATCTCTGATTTCTTCCTTAATATTCTTTACACTATGCCATTTTGGTTTTCAAAGAAATAAACTTACTATAATTTAAGCATAAGAAACTTACAATCTCAAAAGGCAGTTTCATTGGGTAATTAGATACCCTTCTGTGATTTATAGCATAAAACAGATATACACATTATAAAATATTTAACACTGTGATCAAAATATCCCTTCCATGAATGTTCGATCAGAGTTAAAAATTAGGCATGGTAAGCTGCATGCCTTTTATCCCAGTACTCAGAGGCAGAGACAGGCCTAGTCTGTGTATTAAGTTCAACACCAACAAGGGTGACCAGAGTGAAACCCTGTCTCAACCTCCATGCCAAAAAAGGCACATATGCAGCACTTGGGAGAGAGACTGAGGTGGTGGGTCTGAGCTATATAGCAAAATTCTGCAAAAAAAAAAAAAATTAGTTTTAAAAAACTGAACTTGAACATCATTTTTTCACTTGAGTATTTCATCTTCCCTTCTATTGATGAGATCAGAAAATTAAATGTGAATGCTAAATCAAGTGGCTAACACCATTTTTCCTATTCAGAACATCTTTTCTACTTTTACTGGAAATAAGATAATTTGGAAATTTGAAAAACTACTATGTATGTATATTGATAATTTTGACAATAGTTCAAGATAAACTGCTTTTTTTTTCTTTGAAAATGTCACTATTTTTTTCTTGGCTAAATTTGTTTTTGGTTTCCTTGGCTAAGTCTGGACAGTGTATTATAGCATCAAACTATTTGCTACTGAGTGGTCCTTTTGTTTCCTGTGAATATTTGCTCAAAATATCTCCTTTGAGCACTTACAAATCTTGCCAAAAGTGACGATTCCAGGACCAATAAATCCAGAAACAAAAAGGAATATAAAATTTATTTTATTATGTTCTAAGAATGGCAAACCTGGTACTTTGAAAGGAAAACTTAATATTTTAGTCCTAGTCAGTACTTCTGCGACTGCTTAAGAGTACTTTGCCTTTTCCCCCTCCAGTGTTTGTTTTCGTTGTTGATCTTGTTTTGGTTTTTCAAAACAGGGTTTCTCTGTGTAACTTTGGAGCTGGTCCTGGAACTTGCTCCGTAGACCAGGCTGGCCTTGAACTCACAGAGATCTTCCTGCCTCTGCCTCCTGAGTGCTGGGATTAAAGGCGAGAGCCACCACAGCCAGGCCCCCCTCCAGTTTTGATGCTGGGATTGGATCTAGGTTTTCAGAAACTAAGGAAACATTCTAGCACTGAGCTATGGCCCCAGCCTGCAGGATGTACCTTATGCATCTTTCATATTATTTGGTGTATGTTGCTGCACACACTCGTGTGTATTTGTGTGAGCACATGTATGGTGGTGTGCGTGTTGAGGCCAGGGGACAATTTCAAGTGAAATGGGTTCTTTCTTTCCACCACAGGGGTTCCAGAGATCAGACTCAGGTCTGCAGATTTGGTGGCAAGCTTCTTTATCCATTGAGTCATCTCGTCGGCCCTTCAAGTGCACTTTATATTTAATACTAATTGACTGAGGAGAATATAATCCTGACACATTTATTTTCAGACAGACTACGTGTATACAAAAAAATCCAATTTCAATTGTCAAGAAAGATGAATAATACTGACACATCTGGACACTAAAGTCAGCTATATGCTAAGAAAGTGAGAGTGGGTGTAATTCTGTAGACACTGGTTTCAGAAAGAAGGCTGTCTGCTTTCCCTCCTATCTGTCGGTGTAGCTGGTGAGCAGAGAGCGCTGTAGCCAGCAGCTCACGATGCTACCGTGGGTCTGGATGCTTTGTGATGTTCTGCTGTAAATGTGGACATGTATCCAGAAGCGTCTTGGCCTGTATACGACAGTTCTTTGGCATGTTGCAGTCAGCAGAAGCACTCTCTCCTGGGCTTAACTGCCTCCTCAGAAGAATGCACAGTATTTGGAACAAAACCACTTTTAACCCCTTCCCAGCCATCCTGAATACAAATCTCTCCCTTCTTAATAAGTTCATATATGTCTCTTGTCAAGATTGTGAAGGACTCCTCAACATTTGTAGCATCTTTTGCTGAGGTTTCTATATATTTCATCCCACAGTCTGTCGATAGTTTCTCGGCTTCTTCCCTTGACACCTGACGTTGTGATGCTAAATCACATTTGTGTCCCACCAGGAGAAATATAATATGAAAAGGCTGTACGTGCATTTTCGCTTCTTCCAGCCAATCTTTCACATGTTCAAAAGACCGTCGGTTAGTAATGTCAAATACTAAAAATCCACCAACTGAGTTGCGATAATAGGATCGAGTTATTGATCTGAAAAATAAAAAAAGGTCGTGTAAGGTCAATGCTCTTTGCTCCTCCTTTGAATAATGAAACACCAAAATCAAATGCGAAATAACATTATTTAAATAGAGCTTATAAATCCAATATGAGGTATCTTCGGTGAACAAAAATATTCTGAGATTAACACATATGCCTGTTTCATATATGGACAGAATTTTGAAGTCGCACTTCTTAGACACAGAAGAACCTTTGCAGCATATCATCTTGCAGTGTCTTATGAGGTTTTATTTTTAAGTATTTGATAGAAGAGTTATTACAAAACTGGGTTAAAAACAGATAGATAACAGAGGACTAGGGATGTAACTGTGTAGTAGAGTGCCTCTATGCAGGGAGCCCCGAGTTCAGTCCCCATATATGACGTGTATGGTGGCAACACTCCTAGAATCCCTTCACACGGGAGGTGAAGGTAAGAGGAAGAGGAGCTCAAGGTGGGCTGAAAGCCGACCCCGCAGGATGAGCACTTGCCATGCACACACCAAGACCTACGTTTGGCCCCTAGAACTCATGGAAAAAACTCCTGGTGTGGCGGCTCAAAATTACAATCCTAGCACTGGGGAGGTAGAGATAGGCAGAAGACCCCTGGGACTTGCTGGCCAGACACCTGAATGTCATCTATCCTTTCTCTCTCTGTCATACTCCATTTATCCTTCAATAGTTTCAAGAAAGGTATTATCTGAGGAGCCTTCCCAATCAAAGACTCCTTTCTCAAATAATCCCATCTAATGGGTAGCAGACTGCTATTACATTTGCATCGATTTTTTATAATGTGCTGCCTGGATATGTAGATGCCTCTGGCTCGATCCATGGTTTCCCAAAGGTCAAACATGTTTTATACATGTGTCTTACATCATATTGGCTGGCAAATCCTAGGAATCACAGAATGTTTGCGATACAGGGCTGACTAGCCAAAAGGGCAAAGGAAAGTGCTAAATGCCAAGGACCTCCCGAGTGTCAAAGTTCAAGCTGTCTGTGCTCCACACTAAACTCATCTACTTGACCAAGATACAGAGACCGCTATGAAGGGACAGTGGGATGCCCCAGACGCTTGTGCTCACTACACTCTCCTCACTCCTAAAGCCACAGTAGTTCAGCGACCCAACACTGTGCCCGCCTTTGCTGCTAGGGCAGATGTTTCCAGTCCCTGAGTACTTCTCGAGCACTCAGGAGGCCCTAGGTCCAATACTTAGTACTGCCAAAGAAACCCACCAGCCTTGCTTTCTGAGTGTGAAGAATGTATGTGTCCCCTCCCCTTATTCACTCACCTCCCTGTTTCTCCTCAAAATTCATAAAATAGCCCCAAGTGTCTCCCCTCCCTTCTCCTGTGTTTTCATCCATCATTCTATTTTTGAGACAAGGTTTTCCAAGTCCAGCTCAGCCTAGAACTGCTCTGTGGCCCAGCTGTCTTCCCAGCTCAGACTCCTGAGTCCTAGGACTGTAAGCGTGCACCATCAAGCTAGGCTTCAAGCGACAATTTCTGGGGGCTGCAGTACTATACAAGCATTGACGACAAGAAAAATTGTCCACCATATTTAGCGGGATTTAAATAATCTAGTTAATTAAGGTGTTGCTATCGTCTTTAATTCTGTGGGATAATTAATTTGTTATCGTTCTGCCACTGTTCTCTCTGTATGTGTATGAATTCAGGCAGATATGCCAGGTCATAAGAAAAATCCAATTAAGCCTATGTTGTTAGGCCGAAACTTTATCAGCACCAAATCTGCCTTGCTCTCTATAACTTACTATCGGTGTAATTTCATTACACTTATTTATTCACTTTATGTGTATATGTCATATATGTATTTGGGTACATGCATACCACGGCACATGTGGAGATCAGAGGGCAACTTTCAAGGCTTGGCTTTTGTTCCTTTCACCATGTGGGTTTTGGGATCTGTGGTGGTTTGAAAATAAAAAATGTTAGGAGGTGTGGCTTTGTTGGTATGGTATGTTTGTAGATATGTTCTCGTTGGAGGAAGTGTGTCCCTGTGGAGGCCGGCTTTGAAGGTTCATATATGCACAAGCCATATCCCGTGAGACAGCCTTGTGCTGTTGCCTTCTATTCAAGATGTAGCCAGCACCACATCTGCCTGCATGCTGCCATGCTCCCTACCACAAATGATAACGGACTGAAAGTCTGAACTGTAAGCCACCACCTCAAATAAATGTTTTCCTTTATAAAAGTTGTCGTGGTTAGTGTCTTTTCACTGCACTAAAAACCTTAGCTAAGAAAAGATGGAGCTCCAGTTCTCAGGCTTTGTAGCAAGGTCCTTGACCTGCTGAGCCAGGAACTCACTCCCAGAGATCCACCTGCCTCTGCCACCCGAGTGCTGGGATTAAAGGCATGCGCCAACACCACCTGTCCTTCACCAGTGTCATTTTTAAAAACAACCTTTTTGTGGTTGAAAATGCAATGTTGAGAAGATTACTTAGTGCAAGTTTTTCAAGATTTTACTGGGATATGGAAACTTGGGAGACAGCTCAGTGGTTACAAGTATGTGCTGTTCTCCGAGGACGGTTAGGTTTCCAGCACCCTGTTGGCTCACAACTGCCTGTAACTCCAGTTCCAGGGGGATCAGATGTCTCTGCCCTTCTAGGCAACTGCATTCAAATTTACGTACTTACATGCAGACACAAGTATACATAATTAAAAGTAATAGAGCCTGAACAAGGATGACACCAATACATACTAACATTAAAGGGGGAAGTTAAATTTTATCCCTAGACAAAGAATTACAGGTAGCTAGCTGGATGGTGGTGCATGCCTTTAATCACAGCAATCAGGAGGTAGAGGCAGGCGGATCTCTGTGAGTTCGAGGCCAGCCTGGGCTACAAGAGCGAGTTCCAGGACAGGCTCCAAAACTACGGAGAAACCCTGTCTTGAAAAGCCAGGAAAAAAAAAAAATTACAGGCAACTAAGGAATGCTGAGAGTGGGAGAAATGGCCTTCCCTAGGGAAAACCATTTCAAGTGGTCAGCTCTGGAAACAAACATACAAGCAGCATTACACAGACTGAGCAGGTTGAATTTATATATTTAGGGAACATGCATGTGTGCACGCATACACACACACACATACACACACACTCCAGCAACAATTAAAAAAAAGACCCTGGGTTTGAAAAAGAGTAAGGTCGGGGGTACATAGGAGGGCTTGGAGAGAAGAAAGGGAAGGGGAAATGATATTAATCTAAAAAAATGTTTAAAAAAGAACAGGGATGGATATTTCAAAAATTACTGGGATATAATACAAACAAAGTAACCTTATGACCTCATTAAATTGCCAAATTAGAGTTATATTATTTCAGTGAGTATTTGCATTTACAAATTAAAAAACCGAGTTACCATCTAAAATAGAAAATTCAACATTGAAATGTTTGCGTGCATGTATATATATGTGTACACATGCATACACACACACAGAAGCATGCCTTACATTGTAGGAAACAACATGTTTTCTAGTAACTTGCATTTTTTTTAAAAAAAAATCTTAATTCTATATGTTAGAGAGGGAATTATTTGTTGTGAGACTATCCTCTGGCCAGAATGCAAGGGGGGCAGATACAGAACCCAAAGGGAAGGTCCAGGTTTTGTTTTTCTTTATAACTTTTAGGATTGAGGATTAAACCCAAATCCTAATCCACAAATGTGCCCCTGAGTTACGTCCTCAACCCCACTGCTCTTGCACGTACAAGAAGCCTGCTGAGCTTTTGCTGCTGGAAGGTGACCTATCTCACCCTCTTTCAAAGGCGTCTCCTCTGGCTTGGCCTCAGGACCCCTCCCCCATTATTCCCTCCAATCCCTCTGTAAACAGATCCTCTGCTCCTCTGAGACTGAAGCCCTCTGCTGGCACCTGCCAGCTCCGGGCCTTTCTCCACAGACTAGAGATTTTAGCACTTGACTTTCTTTATCTCAAGTCCTGTCGTTTTGCTGATAGCAGCATCCACTCCGGTAGGTTGTTCCCCAGCATCTGTTTTCCAGATGGCTCGATGCACAGAAGTGCTGGCTACAATGCCTGCTGGCCTGAGTTCTGTCTCAGGACCCACAGAGTGGAAGGGAAGAACTTACTCCTACAGGCTGTCCTTTGGCATGCACCTATCCTACGCCTCCTAATAAATGAATGTAAAATAATTCTAACTGCAAATCTGGGCTGAGGAGATGGTTCAGGGTACATCAGTTGAAGTTGCTATGAATTAATTATAACCAATCCCAAGTGGGTACTCAACAGTGCCAAGGAACCGCTGGTACTTTTGCATGGTACCCTCTTCCTACCCCTCCCCACTTTGTGTATCCATGCTACTGGCTCGCTAACTTTAAGGGGCATGAAGGGCCGTGTCTGCTTTATTCACCGCTGAATACCCAGTGCCCTTTCAAGTGTGCAGTACAGAATGATCAGGTCAGGGAGCAACACAGCTGGTGAGGACATAAGAGACACGACAGAATAGTGGAAGCTAGGGCATGCTGTCTAACATCTCATCTCCTTGTAGTCTGACCTCACAGTGTGACGCAGGAGCATTGCCATCAGTGTTGGAGGGGCTGATTTACACACAGTCACCAGCGCTCGCAGGGAAGTTCCTTGAGGGGTGGCTTTTACGCTGGAGCCGTGTTGATGAAACCAGAGAAAGTGAATCTTAGCAGCCTTAAAATCAATTAACTGGGCATGGTGGTTTGCATCTTCCATGACAGCACTCAAGCACAGGCAGGCAGATATCTGTGAGTCCAGGACCAGCCAGGTAAACATTGCGAGATCCTATCTCAAAAAATTACCAATAATTACCATCATTATTATTGTATATGTATGATGTATGTGTGTGGGCTTGTGACAGCATGCTGTGAGGCCAGAGCACAGACTCTGGATTCAGTTCTCTCCTTCTACCTTTATGTGGATTCCGGGATTTAACTCAGGCTACCAGACTGTACGCCACCTTGTAGTTATATATTTTATGACCCTGTTAAGAAGAAAGATTTTTTTTT